AAAGATCACTTGTTGGCAGAGGCTGGCAATGTGCAGAAGGTGACTCGTTGCTATTTCTAGGAAACTGCTGCTCCAAAGTTGCCTTAAATTGGAGGCTTACAACAGCTCGGCTTAATCTCACAGGATGTGCTCCAGTTGATCCTCACTTGCCCATCCGGAGGCACAAATGCAGTTGTCCTTGTTACATCTGGGTTTTGCCCATGTTCTTCCAACAGCCCCTCTAGCCATTGGGCTGAGGACTTCTCTCTTGACCAGTCTTGCCACAGGCCCACTGATGGCAATGCACCTCTATCCCAACTAATCTCAAGAGACAACGCACACAGCCCATATGTGTCCACCCTCAGCACCAAGAACATTTCCTTGCACAGAGACTGCCTTACCTCTGGGCCATGATACTCACCCTTAGTCATGCTTCCCTTTCTGACGTGCATTTTAAGAGTCCGGAAGCTCAGAGTTAGCTGTGGCAATCAGTAGAACATGGAAATTAAACTGCTTTCACCAGCACCAGCTCTGTTGCAGACTGCATCTCGATCATCTGGAAAAGAAACAGTCCAGTTATTCTTGCTCTGGGATGAAAATGAGAGTGGGTGTGGGGGGGGTTAATGGAAGAGGTAAGTCCTTCCTCAGAGTCGGCAGTTGTCAGCTTGCTCTCCCAGGTGCTGTGGGCATGCGCTGACTGGGTATGCAACTGCACTGACACAACCCTTGCCTAGCCAAGCTGTATTGACGTTGCTTACCTGTTGCTTTAAATCAAATCTGGAACCAGGTTCCGTGCTCTTTGGGGCTGGGTCACTTACTGTGATAATTTTGCATAAGAGCAGTGGTTAGGTGCTGAGTACTCTCCCATGTATGATAAACGCATAAGATACCAGCGTAGGCAACGTGTACAGTTTTGGTGTGACCTGTTGCCAAGGTTTTGTTGCGTTTGCCTGTGCTGTGAAACACAAAGCAGCTTCTCAGCTCTGGGAAGTAATCCCTGCACCCAGAATAATCACTAGTCCCTCCTGCCTGGACTCTACAAAGCTCCACAGGGCTGACCATGATCTGACCCTCTGCATGGACTCGAAAATAATAAAGCCACAAGAGAAAGATGAAAAAAAAGCTAATATACAGAGAGAGAGAACACAGTGAAAAAAGGATCAATACGGTGTCCTGTACATACTCTTCCAGATTCAGCAGGTGTTAACTCGGAGCACTGCACTGGGTTAGCCCTACCATGTTAGCTCTCCTGTGTCTTGTCCTGGGAGCCACACAGCCACATCAATGTGGCAATGTAAGCAGAGGCATTAGGAAATTTTTTTTATAGACTTTGCTGTCAGGTTAATGACCCCATCACATACTATGGGCTATCTCCAGCTCTAGAGCCATCTGAGAAATCTTTTCATGGCACAAGTAGAAATGTCTAGGAATATAAGAATGACCAAGGTTCCGTCTAGCCAGCTGCCCTGTTTCCATCAATTGCCACAAACAGACACAAGAGTGAAATAAGAACTAGACAAGTGTATATTACAGTTTCCCTGAATACTTCTTCCAGCATTCGATAATTTTCAGCTCAAGGAATTTCTTCTGATGCTGGTCCAGCCAGGTCTCTACATGAGAAAACGGGAATGAGAACAGCACATCTTCAGTGCCCGTGTTCCATAGGAGTTTCCTTTCATCAGCACCACGAACAAGGGATTTCATGGACCAGGCAACAATCTGGACCAACATGTTTTGCATGAAACTCACAGAGATGTTCCTTCCAAAGAGGATGGTTTTCACAGGGGATCCATTGAGAACAGAAAGAGGGCCAGATAAACTTGGGAGGAGTGGAAAAGGACCAGGCCACTACCAGAATCCATCTGAAATTCTCATATAGACATTTCTGTGTTGAAAAGAGAGAAGTGCACAGAGAGAGATATTCACACTAACCCACTATCTTCCCCACATATACAGGGTTCAGTTTATGGAATAATAGCTTCTAGCTGGATGCTTCTAGTTGAATACAGTTCCTCCTGAAGGATTTCCCACTTAAATCTGGCCTTTAATTGGAAAGTTTCACCTCTGTAAATAAGAATGATCCTCGAGGAAGGGATATTTCTGGAAGGGGACGCACAGAGCTGAACGTAGAAATTCCAATCCTAATTAATCTCAGGCAGACAAAATTTGTTTCGATGGGAGCACTAAGCGTCCTGCAGCTTGATATAAACTGATGGACTCTTGCTTACTCTTGGCATTCACTTTTGCAAATGAATCACTGTTACTTCCGCCTCCCTGCCCACCCCTCCACTTGGTTCCTTTTTAATTTTACAGCTTCCTGAGCCTGACACTGGGAAATCGATAAGTAATTTAGAGCCCAGTAAATACAGAGGAAAACAAGTTATTTTGTACTTTTATAAATATTTGGAAACCAAAATTATCTAAGAAAACAGGTGCTCAGTTGACTCAGCAACCCATCCATCAGCATCACACAGTTAATTGCATAAGATCATAAACATTTATAATTAGAAGGCAAACAAACAAGAATTTTATAAACAGCCCTCTTGAATCAGGCTGCGCATTAAATATTTGTGATAAGGTAATTAAGAATAGATTTACAATCCTGGCTCAGTGTTTAATATTTCGGAGAATGGATTTGATTCTATGGAGAATGTTCTACAGCCAAGCAGAAAACATTCGATTTCGGCTCTTTTATCTGAGGCTTGAAGTGGTCTCAGAGAAACATTGGCTCTGTCATTGATCAGAGTGGAATTTCATTCATTACAGATCAGACAGCTTATTTAAATATACGTCTAATGTCCCTTGTCATGGGCTGATCCACTCCAGGCCTGCTTCAAAGCTCTGTCTCCTTGGCTGGATCTGCAGGCTTTCCCTAAGTCTAGCGTTTTATGGTTGATGCTTTGATCAGAAGATGTCAGAATTCTCAACTGTGTTTCAAAATAGGGAGGAAAAAACACATTTTTCTATTATGACATCATAGTGTTTGGTTATGGAAAGCCGGCATCACTACAGGATTACAGCTGTGCAATCTCAGTGGTCTGTGGGAACCAGAGGGAAGATCTTTTGTACTGTAGTGCCCAATGCCATCCCTGTCCCAAAACAGACAGATCTGCATACTTAAACTATCCAGTGTGGTTGCTTCTATAGGCTGTAAGCAGGCTCAACACCCCATTACAATGGATGTGAGAGTCCCCCTGAAGTTAATCTGTGATCAAGTCAGCAGAGCTTCTAGTTATGCTTAGAACCAGAGAGCCTAGAAACTCCATCTGTACTGAAGCTAGGGTTTAAACTCTGTAAAATCATATGCAGACCCTAAGAAACCAGGTGGCTGCATCCCATCAGTGAGTAATGGGAAGATCAGCCCTAAGGGTAGGATGACATTCAGATATTTTGGGTTTTGATATAGTACAGGTTTACTCCAGTAGTTATCTGCCATTAGAAACTAGAACAGTCTGGAAAAGCTGGGTGGAGGGTAAAGCCCTAGCATTTGATTCATCAGGGATAGCAGTAAACCACTTTATTCTCAGGGGACCATCATGTCCCCACGCACTGCCGGTCAAGGCAACCTCCTTGTTTAGGCATGATTTTGCCTCTTATTTCTTGTGGGCCTTTTGTTCTTTGCTCTTGTATTCATATGCTTGCAACAGGCAGGCAAGAGAGCTGCTTTTCCTAGAAATGTTTCTGATTATCTTGATCCTAACCAGGAACGGTGAAGCCATCATTATTAAGAACAATGAAGCTATCCGTGTGCTGTCTCACCCAGTCCTACCTGTTGGTCTGGCTTCAGTTACGCAGGACACAAAGGCACTTTCCTAACAGACAGATTGCTGCAAAACAAGGAGACTCAGACCCCCCTCATTCTGCATAAATCCCACTCTCTAGCAAAGCTTGTTAATTATATTACAGCGTGTCAGCTAAGCCAGTCTACACAAGAAGCTGCAGCTTCCTCCAGCCTCAATGGAGAACACCACCACAGTGTTGCAGTCACTGCTGGACCTAGTGATTTCGAAGGATCTAGCCAAAGCTTGGCAGCTTGAATAATAACACAGGTTAATACTCAAGTACTATCATCGTCTCAACAACTTCTAACATTATTTAATCCTTCAATGCTCTTGCAGGGGTGGGGAGGATGACAGAGACCACTGGGAGGTGACCTAACTGCTGGGTGGAAGGGCCTGAGCTGCTCACTCTCTTTCAAAAGTGGAGACCATTAGAAGTCGGGTGTCCTACAGCCCAGTGCCTTTCCCCAGACACCAGCTCTGGTATATGCGGGTGGGTAGCAGGACATATGCATTACGGGCGTACTCAGCGCGCACACCGCGTAAGCTCATCTGCCCTTTCCTTCAAGGGTGTTGTTTTTCCCCCTTGGACGGGAGCAATGACGTACGATGCGGTACCTGCTCTGCAGATGAGCAGAACTTTGCCTAGGATGACAAACCATTTATAGGTATAGACAGACCCTTTTTTTTTTTTTCCTTTTTTTTTTTTTTTTCCCCTGCTCAAATGCCGCCTCTGGCCTCCGTGTGCCTGTCTGCTCTGCTGCTGTGTGTGTGTGGGGAGAGACTGGGGCTGTGCACGCACATGACGCTGGTGCAGCAGACGTCACCGGCACGTCAGAGCCAGTTCCACCCCCTCCAAACACACGCCGTTAGCTCGGTGAATCATGCCTATGCAGCATGCAGAACTAGTCCAGTGATAGATAAACCCCGGGCGTTTATTGGTAAACAGATACTGTTTTGCTGTAAGAGCATAACTCACTCCGCTGCATTTACGATCCGTTTATTGATTGCCGAAATAAAGCTGTAATCCTTTTAATTCAAGGGAAAAGGGATCCAGCAGAGCAGGAGCACCAGTGCTCTGCCAGTCGGTAATTAAAATACATGATTTATTGTTGAATAAACACTGGCTGAGGGAGAGCTGAGCTAACCAGCTAGCTGGGGGCAGGATGCTGGGGCAGGTTTATGGTTCTTTCTAAAGTTTTGTTTGTGTTTTATGTTTATTTCTTTCCCCCTTCCCTCCAGGTCTAATAATACACGAAGGGCCCTCGGTTTACCGGATTTTTAAACGGTGGCAGGCGGTCAATCAGCAGTGGAAAGTGCTGAACTATGACAAAACAAAGGACATGGAGGAACAAAAAACAGGGACCAGGACAAATCAGCGCCCCTCCTCCCAAACCACCCACTCGTCCTCCACTGGTGGTACAGCCACTAACTCCGCTCCAGCCGACAGCGGGGCCCGGGCTGCCGGCCATGCCACAGGCACCCTCTCTGACCACCACTGTGCTTATACCATCCTGCATATACTCAGCCACCTGAGGCCTCACGAACAGAGGAGTCAGTCTAGTAGTAACAGAGAGCTCGTCATGAGGGTCACGACGGTCTGAGCCGAGGAATTCAGGAGGCCTTAACACGAAGCGGAGGAGACAAAGAACTCATGAAGCAGAGGAGCATGGTGTGCCTTTTTCTTTCTCTTTCCTTTTCCTTTTTTTCTCTTTCTTCTTTTCTTTTTCTTTTTTTCCCTCCTCTCCTTTTCTTTTTTGGTAACTGCACAAGATATAAGAGGCAGCACCTGGCCAGCTGAGGATAAAAGCAGGTGGAGGGAGAGCTGCACACTCATGCTAAAGAGGTTAATGTTTTCCAGCTAGTTTAAAAAAAAAGAAAAAAAGAAAAAAAAAACCAACAACACAAATCACAAAAAAAAACAACAAAACAAGTGCAATACAGACTACAAACTGAGTAGGCAGAGTTCTGGGGAAGCAGAGAAACAGACAGTTTAGCATGTCTTACAAATCCTATTGCCTGGAATAGGTAACGCTCTGTACACAGCCCCCCGTACACACACGCACGTGCACACAAACACACACAGAGTGTGAGATTTATAAAAACAAGGAAGGGAACGAAATGTTTGGAGTGTTTTTATTTTCCAGACTGTGATTAACCAGGGCTATGTGTTGTTTTGTTTCTTGAGTCACTCTGGAGCCTTGTTCGATTTACCATAGGATACCTGAAGTGAAATGGCTGGGGGATTTTTCAGTATTGATTTACAGAAAGAGAGATTGAATCATCCCACCAAGAAAATCTAACAAAACCCAGCCATACCCAAATTTCACCAAAAATCCTGTTTTTTTCATAATGTTCTTGACAAGGGGTTTGTGAGGGTGGAATTGGGAGGGGGGAGGGCGCTCCATAACCTTTATTTGACGTATAGGCATTTTTGTACAAATGCTCCGCAGGTGTTTCAAGCACAAGTACTGGTGTGATTTATGCCTTCATAACCCCAAATCTAACATCCAAATCTTGCCACTGACACACATCATTTTCCATGCAAACATTCCAGGTTAATTTCCTTCCATTTTACTCCCATCACAAGAAGCTGACCCATCTCGGTGGGTTTCTGCTTCCTTGCTGATTCAGACACTCATGATTAGAGATGTGCATATCTTTCTTTTTTTTTTTTTTTTTTTTTTGTCAGTGTCTGTATCCCTGCTGCTCAATTTGCAACAGTCTCACTCAGTCTTGTAGGCTGAGCCTTTCACATCCAGTCTGTTAGTTTATTACAGAGTCTATTCCATTCAATCATTCAAGAGAGAGTTAGTCTGAAGAGGGAGCACAGTTGCTGATTGAATATGTAACACTTCTAATAAGTCTCCTTCTCTGGGATATATCCTTGAAGGTACCAGTTGCTCTTCAGGAACATTCTCTTTCAATGCACAATGGCTGAATCATTTGTGGATATTAAAGGGACACTGTCAAGTACTTTTTAAATAGTTTTTAGGGTTTGGGCTTTTTTTACTCTCCATTGTTTGTAATATTCTCTTACAAGCTTGAAAATAAAATTTTTTTTCCTTTTAAATTTGGGCATGTATCGTTCTCTCCACTCACCCCATTCCTTTCACCATCCCCGTCCTTCTCCTCCCCACCTTTCTTCTGCTACAGGAGGAAATCCATGCTACTGATTTTCTGCTGACTGTCCTCGCTCGTTGGAGGGTAAGTTTTTTTTGACTGTCCTCGCTCGATGGAGGTTATGTCCCAGCCTCTACAGGGTCAAGCTCTTTTGCCAGTACAGCTGCCACAAAGGAAGTGTAAGAGCAGGAACCCTTAAAATCCGGAGATTAGCTAATTGAGGGGCAACAGCTCAGCAATCCCAAAACAATGAGGCCGTGGTGATCAAGCCTGAACCCACCTTCCCCCAAAATTAAGACAAGGACTTCAGCCAAACTGCTTCCATTTAGCAGCAGTGCTGAGCGACATTGCACAATGGCTGTGTCCAACTGCCCTCTATCATCGTACCAGCACCTCTCACAGCTTCTTTTGGAGCCAGGGCAAATGCGAGCCACCAGCTCCTTTGGCAGCTAGGCCGACATGAGTCAGGTGTTTCTGCAGCGGAGAAGGTGTCAAACTTCAGCCTCCGGGTTTGAACACACCAGCCATTCTGCAATGTTGAAGATGGAGGTTAGCATCTTAAGGCAGGTTGTATTTTTCACCTCGATTACTTGACAGTGTCCCTTTGAATATCAGAATGCAACAGAACAGGTACTTCTCTGGCAGAGAATGTGGGAGGTGAAACACTGGTCAAGAAAGCTGATTTACTGAGGACCCATGTGAAACAGCATGGTTTCTAAGGCCACTGTACCTTTATCTGACCAATCTTACTATCTACCAAAGAGTGCTTTTGGCAGAGGGGAGGGAAGGGATGTTGGTGGGATGAGGAAGAGGGAAGGGGTAATTCTGGTCATCTCTAAAAGCAGCTACCCCCAGAATGAAGGTGTTGCAACGAACGGTCTCTGGAAGAACCCCTTCTGATCCATGATAGAGAGAAACCTGGCCAAAGCAAGCGAACACAGCAGCCTCTCACCCCCATGCCTGTCCTGGAAGCTGTCCTCATTCCAAGAGATGAGTAATTATGGTGGTTTTGGGAAGGGGGAAGCATATACAGACGAAGGGACAGCTGTCAGACATGATGTTGTTTCCCTCCCTGCCCTCCACTCATTTAATATGGAGAAGTCGAATTTCTTTAATTTGGCTAACGGCTAAAAGTTTATGAGGTCAGAAGCACAACTTGCCATGAAAGAGTGGTGTGATCTAGTACTCTGAGCACACAGGACTCTGCATACTCTCACTCCAGCTCTGCCACCGACTCTGTAGCCTTGGGCTGTTTGGCTCAGTCCCCCCTCCACGCAAAGGGGGAACAACAATACGTACCTACCTCACAGGGGTGTTGTGAGAATCCACGTTGGTAAAGCCTGTTGAAGTGCTAAGTCTACCACCGGTAGTCACGAAGCGTGTGGTGGGGGTGAGCAGCGCTGCCCTTTTGCTGGTTACAGTCCGAATCACTCAGCGGGAGTCCCATAGGCCCTCTCCTGCTTGGAGATCCTCCTTGATCTGAAGCGGAGGGTGTCGTCCGAGTGCCCTCTCCTCCATTGCATGACATTTTAAGCAGCCGTGAGGTGCAGGGTAGTGACAGACATGAAGTCCTACTTGACCAGGGATTTGCTACAACGTTTTCTATATCTGTGGGGTTTGTTGGTTTGGTTTTTCCATATATTGTGCTTAGAAATAAACTTTCCACTTAGGGCTGGCGGTTCGGGGTCTCTTCTGTTGCATGGCAATGTATACAAGTCTTATTGTCTGTCTTACTGTGCAAATGATCCCGCAGCCCAATTTCAGAGATGGGTATGGTCTGAGCCTTTTCATAGTGGCATAAGACTCAAAAGCCTGTCTAGACTGTTTAATATTTAAACAACACTATGAACTTGTCAATTGTATGTGTTCTGTGCAATACGAAGCATGTCATTAGCTGGCTTGATGGGCAGAGGGGTTAAAGGAAGGTCAAAACTTGTTCAAAGAGCTTCATACATGTGCCAGCATGGAGCCAAAGGGCTGCCACCAGCAAAGCAAACTCGGGGAAGCCATTGGAAACTGTTTTCAGAACAGTTTACTCCAGAACAAGGTACTTCTGAGTTTATGAACTTCTAGGCTGCCAGCCTGAGAGAACAAGTGCAAATTTAGTGTGGGGTTTGGGGTTTTGGATTCTCTTTTTCTTTCCTCCCCAAAGTATTGATGGCAGAAATACTGATGAGGGTCTCTTCCTTCCATAGCACAGTTCTCTTATCTCCCACAACCTCCTTGTGCCATCCCCATTGTGCCACTATGCAGGACTTTAAAAGGCGCAAATGGAAACAGTACGCTCCCAAGAGATGCAAAATATGTTGTGTATTGGGGGATTCTAGCAGACAGAAGAGATGGGGCAGAGCTGTGCTACAGAAAGCATCTCTTCTTCCCCACATCCCTTCTCTAGTCTTGTCTGCTGGATTCCTGAAGAGGCGTTCTTTGTATTTTGGTACAAAACAGTCAGATCAGCTTCCACCAACAAACAAAGCTTGCAGAGTTTGGCAGCTGTTTCTCCCAGTGGAGAAAATTCCAGGTCCTATCACTGTGGAGACCCCTCAGTTCTTGGGCTTTGTGGTCCTCCAACACTGTTTGGGGGTGGTCAGTGTGGAGGACTGAAATCATCATCAGAAATTGTGTATGTGGTCCTGCTCATTCTTGTGATTTCTGCTAGTCCCCTGAGTTTCAGTCAGTTTTGACAGGTCTTTCTGGCTATGCTCTTCTGGTTATGCTCTTCAGAGGTGTTTTGCTTTGTGTCAGTTGCCAATGCTATTCTTGCCTACTGAAACATCAGTGCTGGCCTCCAGCTTCCACAGCTCTTCCACTCTTGCCATCCAGTCTCTTGGTAAATACCCAGTGCCAAGTTCAGACCCTCTTCCTCCGTGCCTGCAATGGCTCAAGCACATGCACTAACCCAAGAGTCATCAGAGAACACAGGGACCGTTAAGAGTCTGTATCGGTAGTCAGACTCTGTAACCATCAGTCAAGCCCTCTTTGGTATACATCCACTTTGCCAATCTCAGTGCCTGCTGTTAACTGGTTGCCACAAAAAAACACCCATAATGCTAGCAAAACCCATATACCCAGCTAACACTTGGTTTCCAGTTTCAAATGTCAGAAGCGAAGGACTGTTTTTCAAGTAAATCAGGTGTGTTCCCAGTTGTGGTTTCCCAAGCAAGGAGCTGAAGAGGTCCATGTCTTACCTTACCATGATGACCCAAGGAAAGAACAAGTCAGCACCATAGATTTGAGTCAAGAGAGGCATTGGCTGTCCACTATGTTTTTGCTCGAGGAGACAGAAAATACTACTCACGTCTGCCACGTCCCTGACCCTGCTTAAAGCCCTTGCATCTAGCAGCAGTAAAACGTCAGAGCCAATGCCTGTACACGGAGGACAGCTCTGAAGACATTCCAGTTCTGAAGACTACCCTCTGCCCACGTGTGGTGGTCAGTCATTCAAGCATTTTCTCTTTGTTTTCCTCAAGAGAAAAAAGATTATTTTGACTAAGCAAGTACTGCTACTCTTCAGTGTAGGAGGAGGCTGCACCATTAGCACATCCAGCCTGTGGTTCACCCACAGGCAGGACTCCTGCACATCTCCTTGTGAGAACGCATGGTCAGAAGAGCTATTCCTTCCTCTTATTATTATATGGCTGTCAAGCGTATGGAGGGAAATAGTCAGCAGTGCAATTGCCTTAGTGACTACGGGCTGAGCAGCCTAACCTCCCCTCCACTATTCACCTCACCTGTGACTGCTCC